GGCCCCGGTCCGTTACAAGTATGCCTTTAAGTCTTGGCGTACGTTCACAAAAGCGAGAATTCAAAAATAGGCGAAAAGCTCTAAGATTTGATTCCCGAAATTTGGTATCGATTTGTAGAGCTTAACAAGATCTACATTCTGCAATTTGGACTGATTCGAAAAGTGGATTTTCAAACGAGTTATGAGCTCTCAGGAAGCTACGCCTACAGAATCTCTCTTCTTTCCTCCCCCCTCTCTCTCTCTCTCTCGCTGTGTGTTCCAAACAAAATGTGTCAGCTGTAATTGCCCTGTATGTCTTCTCCAAGACTGCCACGATCGTCTTATTTTGTGTTGCAAAAGGCACCACAGGAAATGGAGATTCTAGACACCTAGACGAAGGGAATTAGAGAAAGCGAGACAGAGAACATGTCAACCCCAAACAAAACGAATCGAAATGTCGTAGGCGGCGATTTACCCTTTTTTGAGGTAGGAAAAGAGGGTTTGCCCCCCAGACTGTTCTGGAATGATCTGGAACCTCTTGATGATCTGAATCTGAAAGATGAGGCCTAAAGATCTGGAAGATGAGATCTAGATGGGAGACCTGGAGGATCACAAAAAGATTCGAGACTGAGCAAGAGAGAGTTCTGAATGGTTCTAGACGTTCCCAGCTCCTCTTAAACGCTCTGGAATAATCTGAAACCTTGACAAGCTAGATGAGCACGTCCAGAGAGTTCTAGAAGGTTCAGGACGCTTTGAGTCTTCAAATCTAGACTAGATGCTTCTGAATATGCTTCTAGACTGGAAACCTAGACTCCCAGACTGTGCGCCGGAGGGTTCTAGAGGCTTCTAGACTTTTGGATGCTGGAAATCTGGAAAGTGATGGTTCTGGACGTTCCCTAATACCTCATATCCCCCGGTGGAGGATTCACACGATTGCCGTTTTAGCTACTACCCCAAGAGGAGGTCACGGATGCTTGCGGATAATTAGAGTGTTTTCTATCCAACGGTGTTTTTCAACAGAAGACCCCTTCGCTTTCATGGAGGAGGCCACAACGGATTGATTTGGGATGATGATGATGATTGCCTAGGTGGGAGGATGAGGATGATTCAAATCGTTTACTTCTCGCCCCTTCCCTAGTATGAATCAATCAATTTGACAAGTTTCGATGTCTCTCTCTCTCTTCCTCTACCTGCCCCGCCCTATTGTTGTGTGTACGCCTGAAGAAGAAGAAGAGGTGATCACATGAAAGAAGAAGAAGAAGAAGAAGACGTTGTGTTGGGTTCACGCCCTTCCTTCGAGAGAGACAAAACATTGAAAACGGTAGATGCCTGCTTCTGATGATGGGTGTGGCAGCACGCAGCACGCCGCCGTCATTCATTTTCTCTTTGGGGTGAAACTTTGAAAAAGGCTGGAAACGGAGAGGAAGAAGCATTGGAAAGTTTTAAAAGGTGCCAGGAGCACTTTGGAGAGCTCGGTCCCTTTTTTAGAAGGTTCTGGTGGATTCTGAAGCATTCTGAATGCGCCCAGAGGTTGCCGAGGGTTCTGGAGCATTCTGGCGGCGCCTAGTGGTTTCTAGATAATTCTGGAGCATTCTGGAGGTTCCTAGAAGATTCGAAGGGTTCTGGAAGATTCTGGTAAGATACTAGAGGGTCCTTGAGGATAATAGAAGATTCTGGAACATTCTGGAACATTCTGGAGACGAATAGAGAATTCTAGAGGTTCGTAGAGGACTCTAGAGGGTCCTAGAAGATTCTAGAGAAGTCTAGATGATTCTGGCAAATTCTGGGTATCCTAGAGGATTTTGGAGGCTTTTGGATACTTAGATTCCTGGATTCTCAAATTCTTAGATTCTTAGATCTAGACACTTGCCGGATTCCCGGATTCATAGATCCTTACAGATTCCTGGATTTCTGAATTCTAGAGAACTCCTAGACTCCTAGATTCTTAAGGATTTCTGGAATCCTAAATTCCTGGATTCTTCGATTCTAGACAATTTCTGGATTCCCGGATTCTTAGATCCTTGCAGATTCCTAGATTTCTGAATTCTAGAGAACTCCTGGATTCCTGGATTCTTGAGGATTCCTAAATCCTTGGATTCCTAGATTTTTAGATTCTGAAAGATTCCTGGATTCCTCGGTTCTGAGGTTTCTGGAGGATTCTGGAAGGCTCTGGAAGATACTAGAGGGTCCTAGAGGACTTTAGAGGACTCTGGAGCAAACTCGAGGCGTCTAGAGGATTCTAAGGAGTATGGAGGATTCTTAGATTCCCTAAAGTTTTGAGAGTTTCTGGATTCTTGGATTCCTTGGATTCCTAGATCCCTGAGGCTCCCTGAACATTCTTCCGAAAGGTTAACACCCGCTCACTTGCTCCTCTTCCCGAAATTTCTCCTTCTTCTTCCCATCATCACTGAGAAACGAAAAGAAACATTGGAGAAGAAGAAGACGACCCAACCGAAGATGATGAAGCCAAAACGCAAACAGTGCAAGCAAGCGGAATCACATATTTCTCTCAGCGGACTGAGAACTTTTTTTGCGAAAAAGACGAAGAAAAATGAACTGAGAACAGTTTGGAAAGCTGAAAATGCAGCGATTTTTATAGTCGAAAAAAGAGAGAGAAGACGAGAGAAAGAGAAGGAAATATTTGTTATATTTATATGCATATAATAAAAATGCACACACATTGAGAACTGCATCGACCCCCCCCCCCCTGCTTCATATACGGAAAGATACCGCCGACAGGAGGCAGAAGCCAACACACACACTGTGTTTGTGCTTGATCCCTCTCATTTTGACAGTAATACTATTCATATTGTTAATGGAGATACACTAATTATTGGATTCCATTCTACTACACTATTGCTCTGAACCGGTGAATTTTGGAGTTGGATCTCTTCTGGACGCTTTTAGAAACTCCTGGAACGTCCTAGAGTTTTGAACATAGGTTGGATATCATTTTTAAGCTTCAAGAGATTATGTTGCTCGTTTAAGGAACAATTTTGACGGGTTTGGAGACTTCTGAGCAATATCAGAGTATCCTGAATTCGTGAGAAGCGATTTGGAGGTTTCTGGAGCAGCCTAATCAAGATTTAGGGGTCTTTTGGATCGCCTGGAAAGCTTCTGGAGAACCTAGAACGTGTTGGAAGGGATTCTGAAGATTCTGGAGCATCCTGAGCAAGATCAGAAGCGTTTTGGAGCGTCTGAAGCGTCTAGAGCTTCTGGCTAGCATTTGGAGCATCCTCAATCCGTGATAAGCGATTCTGACGATTCTGGATCATCTCCTGAGCGAGATTTGGAGTTTTTTGAGCTTTCTAGAAGACTCCGCCCATTTTTGAAGAAGAGTCTAGAGGATCCCAAGAGCCGTATCAAGCGATTTGGAGCATTTCGAGCTTCAAGTTTGGCTCCGAAGCGATTTTTGGAGTACTGTAGACTTCTGGAATCTGCTTGGAACTATTTTGACAGTTTTTGAAACATTTTGAGCTTCAAATTTAGCTCTACATTGAATGAATTTTTGGAGCATTTTGGAGATCCCGATTTTCAAAAACTCCACAAAAAATCGAAATGCTGCTCTCAATAGTGGAATTCGTGGTGCACTTGGCTCACGAAATGTTGTGCTACACACTTGGCATCTCTTGTTCCATTCCACCGACCCCAGTGCCAACAAGCAGCACTAAACAAGGCGCTGGCGGAAGGCTGGGAGGAGGAGGAGGTGACCGAGAACTAGTACAGTTCGGCCGAGAGGGTGTGGGAGGCGGTGGGCGAGGCGCCGAGACTCCGCCCACTTTAGGAGGAGACGCAATGATTCCTTTGACTTCTGCGTCTTCTTTTCCACCGTCGTCGTCGTCGTCGTCGCCTTCAGCAGAATCATCGTTGATTCGAAAGTTTCCATTTCTTTTTTCATCAACGTCTTCTTCATTGAAACCGCAATCGTTTTGTTTTTTGGAACCTTCTGAATCTCCTTCCGATCCTTATACATCTTCTTCTAGCTCACACGCGTGCGATCATTGCGACTCGTACGTTTGGCATGCGACATCGTCACTAGCCACAACATCACTACTTTTACTCGCCGTCGCCACAACGCTAACCATGCTGAAAGTGGTGCGAAGCTATTCGAAGAAGGCCGAGCGGAAGTCGGAGTCCTCTCGTGCCGGAAGTCAACAACACCTTCATTCGAGCAACAGTCAACAACAACAAGCAATCGGAGGATCCGCAGGAGGAGGAGGACAGAACTCGTCGAGCTACTATGAGGAGTATAGAAACGGTGGTGCTGGTGGTTATGGAGGATCTGGCAACGGACACGTCGTCGGAGCGAACGGACAAATCATGCATCACGCCGACAATCGACACCTTCAGAATGCGTATCAGACACACCAGCAGGGAGGGTTCTCGGAGAGCTCGAGCTACGAGACGCGAGAGCACTTTGAGAGGAAGGTGCAACGGGTGAAGAAGACGCGTGGCGAGCGGGAACGATCCAGATCCATGAGGAGGGACGAGGTAGAGTTTTTGGACTATCTGGAAACTTCTAGAGCTCTTGGATCCTTAGAAATCGATTTGGAGCAATTCAGCTTCCATCTAGCTTGACTTCTATATTGATGTCTTCTAGATTGATTCAACGTCATCTATGTTGACCTCTAGATTGATTTTCTCATTTTGCTTCTGGACTTCTACCTGCTTTTGAATCGTTCTAGAAGGTTCAGGATCTTTCTAGAGCCGTCTAGTAGCTTTTAGATCCTTCTGGCTTCTGCTAGACCATCCTGAGGGCGCTTCTAGACCCTTCTAGGAGTGGATCCTTTTAGAACCCCCCTCTAGAACGTTCTAGAGTCTTTAGAGCTGTTTAGAATCTTTGATAACCTCGTCAAAACATTTCTAGAAGCTTCTAAATCATTCTAAGGGCTTCTAGAAGGACTGGAATCTAGAATCCGGTCCTTTCCTGTTGATTCTCCTCATTTTCCAATTGACCTCTTCCTTATCTATCTCTCTCTCTCAGGAGAGATTGTTTATGACTTTCGGCCACCACCGCCGCCTTCCGCAATTAGAACCTTGACGTCTTCTTCTTCTTCTTCTTCTTCTTCTTCTTATTTCTCGGTACACGCCCCCCCCCCCCGAGAGACAGAGATATCTGTTCGATTCATCTATCTCCTCTTCTTCCCTCGATTAATGAATTCATCAGCAGAAGTAGTAGTAGTACTGTAGAGTCATAAAAGGAAGAAGAAGAGGGGAGAGAAAGGTTTATGGAGAGTAGGAAAATAACCTTGGCAACACGCCCTAGGAGGATTTTGAAGGCTTCTGGATCAGCTAGATGAGCTGGGCTAGAAATTCTGGCTCGGCTAGATAAGCTAGGTCAACTAGAAAAAGATCAGCTAGGGCTCATTGATCAGTTAGGATAGCTCTTAAGGCTCAGCAAGATTAGCTGGAACTTCTGACTTAGCTAGGCCTGCTAGGCTAGAAATTCTGGCTCTCCTGGATCAGCTAGGGCTCAGCTAGATGAGCTAAGCTAGCGATTCTGGCTTAGCCAGGTCAGCTAGAATAAGTAAGCACTATCTACACAGCAAGGAACAGCTTGAGAGTTCTATGGAGAATGGTCCCTCTAGACACTTTCCAACCGATTCCGAAGTTTCATGGCCTGGTCAGGATTCTGCTTGGATTCTAGAAGATTCCTATGATCCAAATTGTAGTCGTTAGAATCCAATTCTCGACGTCGTTTTTCATAAATACCCCCGACGATGTATATATGCAAAACAGGAGGAGGATACGCTTGAGACTTCCCCCCCCCCCCCCCCTTTAAATCTTTGCATTTCGCGCATTTCCAAAAGTCTCGACCTTTGTGTTGTCGGAGGAGGCATCGTCCGCCGAACCGAACCGTCCCGATGAATTGGCTATATGCTATAGGGAATGGATGAACGGATGGTGGTAGAATTCGAGATGTTTGAATGTGAATACAAAAGAAGAGAGAGAGAGAGAGGGAAAACGAATAAAAAACAGAAATCGGTGGGAATAGATCCTGGTTCGACACTAGGGAGACTAGAGACTAGAGATTCAAAGAGAGGGGTCAGAGAAAAAATCGGATTTTTTGAGCTCATTTTGAGCCCTGAGCGATCCTGGCTAGAGTCAAAAAATCGCTCATTTTAAGCTCGAAAATGGATTAGATCCTAGATCCCAAGGTTGTTTGAGGCTCGAAATTCGGATTTCTGTGTCCACTTCTAACTTGGATAGAGTCGTTTGGAGTTCAAAAATTGGTTCATTTTGACCCTAAATCCTCGAATTTCCCTGAGTCAAAATTGCTCATTTTTAGATTACAGAGCATACTTTGACGTTTTGGAGATCCGAAATTCCTCTGAATTTGATGTCTTCTGAAACCCTGCAACGTGTTGAATCTAGTTTTGACAGTAACAAATTCTTCTCTCGATGAAGAATTCCTTCTTCTTCTCCCACTTTTTTGATTGATAATGTGATGGTTTCTTCTTCTTCTTCTTCTTCTTCCCATCTTGAATTTCTATATGTGGCCAGGAGAAGAAGAAGAAGAAGAAGAAGAAGAACCACACCCAACCAACCCCTATTTTTGTTTTCTTCTTCGTCTTCTTGAAGTATACAGAGTTGGCCAAAAAATGGGGGTTTTGTTATTGATAAGTGTTGATATGTTGATATCAGAAGAAGAAGAAGAAGAAGAAGGAATTTTGATAAACGAAATTCAGAAGAAGAGGAGGAATAAGAATGGGAATAGGGGGGGGGGGGATCAAGGTCAGGGAAACTAGAAAAAATAAGATTTTTGGAATCGAAAAATGCTTAAAACTCATCAAAAACCAGTGTTTTGAAGTCCAAAATCATCGATTTTAAGAATTTCGAGCTGAAAATTCCAGTTTTAGAGCCCGAAATTCGATTTTTCGGGCAAAAATTGCTCATTTTGGAGTCCAAAAATGGCTCAAAACCCTTGATTTCAAGGATTTTGAGTCTGGAAAATCCATTTTTAAAACCCCGAAATGTTGATTTTCGAGTGAAAATTGCTCATTTTGGAGTCCAAAAAAACCCAAGAATTTGAGCCTGGAAAATCCATTGTTTTTTTTTGTCTAAAAACCGAGATTTTCAGCCGAAAATCCAATGTTAGAGCACCCGAAATTGGGTTTTCCGTGCATCCAATTTTTGGACTCTAAAAGTCCAGATTTCGAGCTGAAAAATATCCCATTTTCAGCGGCCGAAATTCGATTTTCCGTGCTAGAAATTGTTCATTTTGAAGTCCAAAAATGGCTTAGAACCCTTGATTTTAAGGATTCTGAGCCTGGAAAATCCGTTTTTAGAATGCCAAAATTTGATTTTCCAGCCAAAAATTGCTCATTTTGGAGTCCAAAAATGGATCTAAATTGGCTCATTTCTAGCAGAAAACTCTTAATTCTGGACCCCCCCCCCCCCTATGGACATTAGCCGATCAAATTTCCACTAATTTTCACTTCTATGACTAGTTTCTCTCTCCCCACCCAACCCATTTTTTTCCCCGCATAGTTTTGAATACAAAAGAGACAGCGCCTTGCCTACCAGAGCGGTTTCTGTATGTATGCACAACCCGGGAGGGGGGGCCTAGGTAGGTACATACAAGAGAGGACACATGAATTACCAAAGCGGAGGCAAGGTGAACATTTGGAACTAGAGGAAAATTTTGAGGGAAAAATGAGGGGAAAAGAGTCGAAAATGGGGGGAAGTTTGAGCCAAAAAACTAGCAGATTTTGAGTGAAAACGGACGCAAAATTACTGCAAAATTGAGCCAAAACGACCGGAAACCGTCAATTTTGGGTTCATTTTCACTCGAAATTGGCATTTTCGATCCCAAAGCCAAAATCAGCCAAAAAGAGCGATTTTTGAGAGAAAATATGGACCCAAAAAGAGGGGGCAGAAAAGGCAGAAAAATGAGCGAAAATGAGCCAGAATCCAGCAATTTTGAATGCAAAAAAGTCGGAATTAATGGGTTTTGAACCCCCCCCCCCCCCCCAAAATGAGCATCTTTTGAGTGGAATTGGACTCGGAATGAGCCAAAATTTTCGGAAAACCGTGATTTTTGCTCACTAATTAATACCTGATAAAATCCTAATTTTCAGCATTAAACACACTGCTGAAAGCCCCCTGAACCCCCCTATTTTGTCCACATGTTGATTGCTTTTCAAAAGTCCTGTGCCAATTCCAAATGTTCCAATTCAATCTACTTTCAGGTCTCCGAAGCGTTACATGGAAGCGATGCGACATCGGCGCGCGACGCACTGCTTCAATGGGCGCGAAAGGTGAGCAATTTGGGAGGAAACACTTCGAAAAATACAGTATTTTGGACGCCAGAATCGGCAAAAACGAGAAAAAATGAGTCTAGAAATGAGCAATGCTACAGTACAATCATCGAAAAACGGAGGAATAGGATTACTGTAGTTATAGGGATCTAGAAGATGAGCAATCCGCCGGGACAACTGTTGTTTGGACCGAAGGTCCTCAAGGATTACTGTAGATATTGATAGCTTTCTAGGACTCTTTTTGTAGATCCTGGAATACTATAGTTTTCAAGGATTACTGTAATTTCTACCTAGCATGAGCAATTGACCATAACCTAAAACCGTTTAGGGGAGTCTGAAGAAGATTACTGTACCTCTGACTATTAGGATTACTGTACCACATGGGTTTACTGTAGGTTATTGATTACTGTAGTTTTTAGGATGAGCAATACCATCCGGAGTTACTGTAGCTCTCGGATTGCTTCGTCTTTTAGGATTACTGTACTTGGAAAAGTTTCGTTTATGGCAAACCGTATTTTTTTTTGTATTACTGTAGCTCGGAGATGGTTACTGTATCTCCTAGTATCACTAATTTTGGATTACTGTATTTTGCTTTATAACATTTTTCTGTAAGTTTTTGGATCGCTTAGAATTACTGTACTTTTCGAAAGCTTTCCTTTTTTGACGAACTGAGGCTTATTGTAGGAATTTAACATGAGCAATATACTACTGATTCTTCTTTTAGGATTACCGTAGGAGTTAGCATGCGTAATCGAATACAAAAACCGTTTAGGGTAGTCTGAAGAAGATTACTGTACCTCTGATTATTAGGACTACTGTGGCAATATGGATTACTGTAGTTGTACCTTTAGAGGAATACTGTAGAAATCTAGGATGAGCAATACCATCCGGGGTTACTGTAGCTCTCGAATTGCTTCGTCTTTTAGGATTAGTCGATTTTTATGTATGATTACTGTACCCCCTAGGATCACTAGTTTTGGATTACTGTAGCTCTTCTGGATTACTGTAACTCATTCCTTTATGCTTCAGGTGACCGCCGGCTATCCTCGTGTGAATGTGAACAACTTCTCGAGCTCATGGCGTGACGGACTCGCCTTCAACGCAATTCTCCATCGATATCGGCCGAATGCTATCGATTGGAATAAGGTGAGTCTTTCTTTTTTGCAGCAAAAAAATGAGCAAAATGAGCGATTTTTCGAGCAGGAACCGATTTTGGACCACTTTCATAGGCATTTTGAGCCGATTTTAGCCTTAAAAATTGGCTGAAAATCGGTCCAGTTAGCCTAAAAGGTTGTTTAGACTCATCTGGACCAGTTTCCAGCGATTTCCGGCGATTTTTAGGCTATTTTCAACCGCTCTTAGCCCATTTTAAGTCCCTTTCAGCCTATTTTAAGCCATTTCCGCTTATTTTAGACCAATCTGGACCAAATGTTTTGATATCTGGTCGTCATTTTAAGACTATTTTTAGCCATTTCCAGACCTATGTTTAAGCCATTTTAAGCCTATTTTAGGCCTATTTCAAGCCTATTTCAAGCCTATTCTAAGCCTATATTGACCTACATCCCAAACCAATTTCAGGCCAAAAAATGATTCCAGTTTTAGTACACACACACCCGTCCTTCTCCTATAATTTATCAATTTATCATTTAATCAGTGCTAGTATTAGTACTTTCTCTCTCTTCCAATCACCTCTTGATTGCCACTAATCACTCGAAACGCGAAAACCAGAATTCTAGAATTCAGATGCTTCAATCATTTTGGAAATAACGATAATCATGATGATTGGAGACAGAGAGATAGTGTAATAAGTATTCTTCTTTGACGTCTTCTTCTTCATCAGAAGACGTTAGAATTCACAATTCATAGGCATCTGAAGAGGGGGAAGTGATTAGTGTTATCAGTAGAGAGAAATAGTGTGGCATCTAGAGGAGAGCGCTGATTTCCTGTTTAGATTCTTCTGATGACTGCAAAAAAAAGGAAAAAAAGACGAGAGAGAGAGAGTATGGGATTTGAAGAGAGTAGCTAGAGAAATGGGCGTGGCTAGAGAGTGTATGATTGGAAGAGAGTGGCTAGAGAAAGCAGTGAAGACACACACCTTGTTCTCGGAAGAAGACCTTGGAAGTGCCTCCTTTTTTTGTTTGTTGTGTAAGAGGAAAATGGGAATTTCTGTAGGGGTTAAGAAGAAGAAGGTGTGCCCCCCCCCCCCCCCCCCTAGGTGATAAGTGATAAGTGGAAATTTTGAAAATTCGCGAAAAAACGGGAATTTTTGGAGGCTTGCCATAACTTTGAAAAGGGACGAAAATGAGGGGTTTTAAGGCTTGATATTGGCTCAAAATAAACTGAAATTGACTGAAAATGGCAAAAAAATGGCATAAAAGTAGTCTGAAATTGGCTCACAATAGGCTGAAAATAGGCTGAAATCGGTAAAATTCAAGAAAAATGGCTTAAATCGCTGCGATTGGCCTAGAACAGGCTGCCATAAATGAGGCAGAAATGCTGTAATTTGAGTTTAGAAGGCCCCGAAAATGGCTTAAAATAAGGCTGAAATTGGATTGAAATTAGCTGAAATTCGACTTAAAAATCAAAAAATTTTCGACCTAAATCTAGATGAATTTCGGCGGAATTTAGCTGAGATTGATCCCGCAAAAAGGGCAAAACTGTCTAAAAATGAGGCTTTGAGGTGTGAAATTTCAGAAATGGCTTGAAATTTGGCTAGAAATCGGCCTTTATATTACAGAAAAAGGTCCAAAAATAGCTGAAAATAAGCCAGAATGCTGCAATTGGCTTAAAATAGGTCGTTAAATAACTGAAAATGGTCCAAAAATGACTCAAAATGGTTCGAAAATGTCTGAAAATACCTCGATTTTCGCTGAAATTGCTCCAGAAATGCTCCAAATCGCTCAGAAATTACTGGAAAGCTAGGCTTAGAATCTAGGCTGAAATAGGCTAAAAATGGCTCAAAATACCTTGATTTTCTCTGAAAACTGCCTAGAAATGCTCCAAATTGCTCAGGAATTGCCTAGAAATCCTAATTTTCCCCCTCTATTTTGCAGATCAGCGACGAATCGGTGTCCAACCGAGAGCGTCTCGACAACGCGTTCGCCGCGGCGGAACGCGAATTCGGCGTCTCACGTCTTCTCGATGCCGAAGACGTCGATACCAATAATCCAGACGAGAAGTCGATCATCACCTACGTCTCGTCTCTCTACAATGCTCTTCCACACCTTCCAGAGCTTAATAAGGTGGGTTTTAGCCCCTGGAAAATGGGATTTTTGATAAAAAATGACTCTGAAAATGTCAATTTTGGCTTAAATTAGGTCCAGAAAATTGGATTTTTCATGGAAAATGACGCTGAAAATGTCAATTTTGGCCTGAAATTGGCCTAAAACAATGGATTTTTGATGAAAAATGACTCCTAAAATGTCAAAAATTGGGGATTTTGACCCACAAAACATCAGTTTTTCAATGTCAAAATAACCCCACATCTACATGTCTGTCTGTCTGTCTGTGTGTCCATGTGTCGCAATTTTTCTAGCTTCAAAAAGTGCAAGACGAGTACATCGAAGAGGCGTACGAATGGCGCGAATGGGTGGTGCGTGCCATCCAGCTCGTCAACGATCGCCTTCTCCAAGGAACGTCATCTGAACTGATCTACGAACTTCAACGCTTCCGTGACGACGACCTACCACCAAGAGAGGAGCAGAAACGACGCCTATGCCTTGTCTACGATCATTTAGAGAAGATGATGAGGTCCACGGAGCTCTTTGCGATTCCCCATGAGCTCAGTGCTCGCGAGCTTCAGAAGGTGTGGCAGGAGTTGTTGAATTCGATCGATCGACGATTCGATCTGTTGGAACATCATCGTGTACAGGAGGTATCTTTGTGAGAACTAACCATAATTGTCTCTGTGATAACTAACACTCTTTGCATGCAAAAACACTCAAAACATGGCTCAAAAACGCCTCATTTTGTCTGAAAATGCTGAAAATTGGTGCCAAAATGACCTATATCCACTCTTTTAGGCTGAAATTTGCCGTTTTTGGGCACTCAAAAGCTCCAAAAATGTCAAAAATCGACCTAAAAGGGATGAACATGCTCCAAAAAATCGAGATTTAGAGCTCGAAATTTGTCAAAAATGCCTTAAAAATCTGAAATTTCAAGTTTTGGAACCCAAAAAATGGCTGAAAACGACGAATTAGCCGTTTTTGGGCTTTTAAAAATACCAAAAATGTCAAAAATCGACCTAAAAGTGATGACAATGACCCAAAAATCGAGAATTAGAGCTCGAAAATCGCCTTAAAAATCTGAAAATTCGAGTTTTTGAACCCCAGAAATTGCTTAAAAATGAACCTTTTGTCTGAAAATGCTGAAAATTGGTGCCAAAATGACCTATATCCACCCTTCCGGCCTTAAATTTGCCGTTTCTGGGCACTCGAAAGTTCCAAAAAGTGTCAAAAATCGACCTAAAAATGATGAACATGCTCCAAAAAATCGAGATTTAGAGCTCGAAATTTGTCAAAAATTGCTTCAAAATCTCAAAATTTCCAGTTTTCGAACCACAGAAATTGCTGAAAATGACGAATTTCCGGTTTTTGAGTTTTTTAAGAATGCGAAAATTTCAAAAATTGACCTAAAAATCAAGATTTTGAGCTCGAAACTTGTAAAAAATTGCTTCAAAATCTGAAAACTCAGATTTTGGAACAACCCAAAAATGAGTAAAAACACAACGCATTTTGAGCTTTTTCTCTAAAAAATTTCGCCTAAATTCGAAGAATTTTCCAGGAATCATAATCTCCTAAATCTACGTTTTTTTGGACTCTAAATCTTCCGTTTTTGGGCATTTTGAATTCCAAAAAATGTCGAAAATTGACCTAAAAAGCTCATTTTTCAGTCTAAAAAGGCCCGAAAATGCTTTGAAATGAGCTCAAACACGACAAATTTTGCTTAAATATTCAATTTTTGCCAGTTTAAAGGCGCCTAGACCCTCGAAAAATGAAAAATGGGTCATGTTTGAGCAATTTTAGACCCTCATTACCCTATGATCCTCCCCCAATTAACTAGTTAATTGGCCAATTACCCCCCAAAACCCCTATTTTCTATTCCAGGGAAACTCATCGGACATCATCAGCCGTCTGGACCGTGGAATCGGAATCGTCAACGAGAAGCTGGACCTGATTCTGAAGAGAATTGAAGACGTCGAGGCTCGTGTCGACACCTCCCCACCAGCAGCCGTCGAGCGTACCGTAACCGAGATCGTGGACGATTTGAATGCCCTCGAGGCACCGATTGCTCAGCTTTTCGAGTTGGTCGAAGAGCTGAAGACTATGCAACATCCAGAAGCCAACGACTTCTACCGAAGAGTCTACGGACTGCACCAACGAAGAACCGCCTATCTCGACCGGCTCACCAATCAGATTCTGGTTCGGCTGGGAGTCCGTACGGATACACTGCACAAAGAGAATCAAGCACGTCTGGAGAACATGAGACAGACGTCGTTCAGCAGAGTGGAAGAGTGTATCGAATGGGTCCGAGTGAGAATGGAGAAACTGACGACGATGGAGTTCCTGGAGGATCTGGAGACGTTGGAACACATCTTCGAGCAGCACAAGCTCGACAACCGAGACATCCAGGACTTCAGACAGAACGTTGATGAATGCATCGCCCGACAAGCTGAAGTCTCCGCTGAAGACACCTACGAATACTGTGAATTGCTGAGAGTCTTGGAGTCGGAATACCAGCAGCTGAGGGATTTGAGTGCTGGAAGAATGCTGGATCTGGATTCTCTGATTGCCTTTGTACGTGCTGCACAGCTCGAGCTCATCTGGGTTTCAGATCGGGAGAGAATCGAGGTGACCCGTAATTGGAGCGATATCAAACAGCTGGACCTTCCAATGCTCACCAACTACTACAAACAGTTGCTGCACGAGATGGAGCTCAGAGAGAAGCAATACAACGATGTGCATAATCAAGGAGCGGCTCTTCTCAATCAAGGACATCCGGCTGTGCGAGTAATCGAGATCTATCTGAAAACAATGCAAACTCAATGGGATTGGCTGCTGGCCCTATCCAAATGCCTTGAAGAGCACCTCCGCGACGCGCTGAACCTCAAGTCGTTTATGGAGGAGGCTGCCGATGCGGAAGCATGGATTGAGGAACAATCGGCACGTCTTGAGAACAACTACAATCGAACGGACTTCAGTTTGGAGGAGGGAGAGAGGTTCCTGAGGGAGCTTGATGAGATCAAGGAGATTCTGAACAAGTACCATCAGGTGCTGATGGCACTCACCGAGAGATGTGCTTCAATCTCGCCGTTGTGGCAGCGAGGAGAGAGGATTCCGCATCCGATTACTGTAACTGCCCTGTGTGACTACGCGGATCAGAACATCACAATCAAGGCGGGAGATGATGTTGTTCTGCTCGACAACTCGGATTTGATCAAATGGACTGTGAGGGATTTGTCGGGAGTCGAGGGACAAGTACCATCGGTTGTGTTCCGTATCCCACCACCAGATGCCCGTCTGACGGCATTCTTGAATCGCCTACTTCAACAATTCGAGAAGCTCAAGAAGTTGTGGGAGAAGAAGCATCGAATGGTTCGATTCAACATGGTTCTGAACACAATGAGAACTATTCAGTGAGTTTTTTTTAGAACTTTTAAGGGGGGAAATGGGCTGAAAATGGCCTGAAGTAGCCCTGAAAATAGCCTAAAATGACCTAAAATTGGCCTTGAAATGGCTTGAAAAAGTTTTGAAATAGCCCCAAAAATTATCTAAAAATAGTAAATAGTAAAATGGCCTTCAGAAGGCTATTTTTAGGCCGTTCCAGTCCTATTTTACAACATTTTAGGCCGAAAACTAGCCTGGAAACGGTCTAAAAGGGCCTTGACTTGTCTAAAAAGCCTGAAATCGGCTTGAAAATAGCTTAAAATAGACTCTTTTAAAAGTCTGGCAATGGATAATAAATGTGCCCTTAACCATCTGAAAACGTGTCTGAAACTACCAAAAATAGACCTAAATAGCGTGACAAAGCCTTAAATAACCTTAAAATAGCCTGAAACGGCCCAAAATGGCCGAAGAATTAGCCTTGAAAATCGATTTATGACTGTTTTCGGTGTTCTTAGAACATTCTAGACCCGATTTTCATCGAATTTTCTGATAGAAATGGGGGGAAAATGACCTAAAGTAGCCGGAAATAGTCTTAAATAGTTCTAAAAAAGATCTAAAAATTGACTGAAAATCATCTAAAAATGACCAAAACTAGTCTGAAATAGTAGAAAATGGCCTCAAAATGGCTCTGAAATAGCCTTAAATGACCTAAAAAGTGTCTGAAATTAACTTGAAATAGCTTAAAATAGCCTGAAAACGGCCCCTAAACTTCGCGATTTTGCAGAGGCTGGGACCTGGACACGTTCAACTCGATCGATCCCGACCAACGTGACGCAATCATGAAGGCGTTGAACGACGACGCGAACAAACTGCTCTCCGAACTGGATCCCAACGATCCGCTGGCCCTCCGCCTCCGTGAGGAACTCCGCAAGACGAACGAACACTTTTGGAATCTGCTCAACGCCTCGCAGAAGCCACCAGAGCCCGATTGGGCGTCTCAATACGATCAGAAGATGTCGGAATTGCTCAGAAAACTGGAGGAGGCGTGGAGAAAGCTGAACGACGCCGTCGGCAAGCCAGTCTCTCGATCACCGGAAGAGCTGGAACGCGTGATTCATGAGCACAAGAGATTCGAGGATGCCCTTCAGGCCCTTGATGGAGACGTTGCCAACGTCAAGGAGCTGTTCCGTCAACTGCCAAACCCCACGCCGACGCAACGTGTCAATCATGATCGTTTGAATGGACTTTGGGATGATTTGTGGGACTTGTCGAGGATGTATGTCGAGCGAATCAAGGTGAGCAGGTGGTTTTTGAGCTTCGAGAACTGAAAAAAGCCATTTCCAGCTGAAATAGGCCTGAAATTGCAGAATATTATTTGAAAACGGTTCTTAAAAATCTGAAAATGTGAGTTTTCGGAGCCATTTTCAGCTGAAATAGGGAATTTTGAGCCATCTTGGCTTATTTTGGCTGAAAACGACTCTGAAAATCTTTTAAAAATGGCCTTTTGGGCCATTTTCAGCTGAAATAAGCCCCCCCCCAAAAAAAGAAACGATTTCTAATCTCATTTCCAGCCTTAAATACCCTTAAATATGCTAATTTTCCCAATTTTGCAGGTATTGGAGTCGGTTCTGAATGGCATGGTCGAAGTCGCTGACATCGTGAAGCAGCACGAGATAACGTTGAACTCATTCGACGATCTGCCGGCTGCGCTCGACAAACTGCGTGGACACCACTCGCAGTTGCTCGAGATCAACATGGTGCTCAGGGTGAGCAGCGTTTTGAGCAATTGTCAGCCTTGAAAATTGAATTTTTTGGGGGTTTTTTAACTTCGAAGTGTAATTTTTGAGCACTTTTGAACTCGGAAAGTGGACTTTTTGACCCTAAAATCATGATTTTTGACCTCGAAAATGTGATTTTTGAGCAATTTTGAGCTTGAAAAGTAGGCTTTTTGACCCGAAAATCATGATTTTGAGCTTAAAATCATGATTTTGGACCCTGAAATCATGAATTTTGACCTCGAAATCGAGATTTTTTAGCTTGAACTCATGATTTTTGAACGATTTTTACCCTAAAATCGTGATTTTTGAGCGATTCTGACCTCTGAAAGTCAGATTTTTGAAGGTTCTAACCTGAAAATCATGATTTTGGACCCTAAAATCATGATTTTGGACCCTAAAATCATGATTTTTGAGCCTAAAATCATGGATTTTGACCTTAAAATATGATTTTGGACCCTGAAATCATGATTTTGGAGCAATTTTGAGCTCTAAAAATCGGATTTTTAGCGATTGATCATCCGTAATTTCAAATTTCCAGCAACAACAAACCGTCATCGATCAGCTGAACAGAAATGTCGCACTGCTCCGCCAACACGTCGCCCGTACTCGTATCAACGAGGGACAGTGAGTGTTTTCTTTAATTTTTTGGCTGAAAATCTGGGAATTTTGAGCTGAAATTCGTGAAAATCTGACCAAATTTGAAGAGGGACTAGTTTTGGGGATTCCTAGGCCAGCTGGTGCAAATTTGGTTAATGCAAAAGACTCAAACGTACTACAGTAGTCCCAGAGAGCTTCAAAATTATCATGATTATAACTGGAGCCTTTTTCCGAAACTACAGTAATCCCAATTTTCAATTTGTGCTCATTTTGGAACTTTTTTCTGGTCTTACTTTGGGATTCTAGGCCATAGGTCATGGTCCCTGTAACTACAGTAATCTTAAATTAGAAAAAACCCGGGGAATCCGGGAAAATTTGAAGAGGGACTAGTTTTGGGATTTCTAGGACACCAACCTTTAAGGATCCTAGCGCCATCTAACTACAGTAATCCCAAATAGATATATTCTAATTATAGTAGGAAATCGGTCGAACCAACCTGGCCTAGATTTGGGATTCTAGGACATCTAGCATAGACCTTTTCCAATAACTACAGTAATCCCAAACGAGACCGTCCAAGTTGTGCTCATTTTGGAGCTTTTAATAAGCCAATGTAGACTGTCTTGGCCTATCTTTGATTTCTAAGGATTCTAGGCCATCTAGCTACAGTAACCCTAAATGAGACCGTTGCGCTCGCTTCGGAGCTCTAGCTAGACTGTTGACGCGAGCTCCAAACGAGCGAAAAATAGGCTTTGCTGGCCTAGTTTTGAAATTCTGGGTCACCAACTTTTTGGGATTCTAGGCCATCTAACTACAGTAATCCAAAATTGTTCAAATTCGAAAAAATTTGATAAGGGACAAGGTTCCGGGTTTCTAGGCCATAAGCGTTTTCCGTAACTACACCGCCCAAGTTGTGTTCTCAATTTGGACCTCTTGAACAAGCCAAACGAAACTGCCTTGGCCTAGATTTGATTTTTAGGGATTCTAGGCCATCTAGCTACAGTAACCCTAAATAAGACCGTTGTGCTCGCTTTGAAATTCCTAGCTATAGCTTGTCTTGGCCTAGTTTTGAGATTCTAGGCTCTGGAGTTCTAGGGATTCTAAGCCATCTGTCATAAGCCGTTTCCAAAACTACAGTAATCCCAATTTCAGCCACCCCGACGTTGACGCTATCGAAGAAGAAGTGCAAAAGCTGAACGTGCGTTGGGAGAATGTGAACGCTCAAATCGCCGAACGCCTTCTGGCCGTCGAGAAAGCTCTCCAGATTCAAATGGTCTATCGATCGGAATACGAGACGGAGATCAAGTGGTTGGACGACGTCGAGGAGACAATCAATCGACTCCGGAAACCAGATGAGCTGCGTCCCGAGGAGTATCAGCATCAGTTGGATACGCTCACCCAGATGTACTCCCATCTTCAAGAACACACTCAAGCCATCGAGAATGTGAACAAAGAGGGTGGAGAGTTCATTCATAAGGCCAAGATGTTCGATGCGAAACTCGGACAGTACGGAGATGCGATCGTTGGAATACACGGACCCGACGTTCGTTCGTTGTTCCGCCGGACGAAGCCACAGCCGAAGAATGGCGCACAGATTGTGACCGAGGAGCTGGAGGTGAGTGTTTTGTCATGGGGGGGGGGGACTAGTTTTAGATTCCTAGGCCACCTGGTTCTATAGTTGGTTTATCACAGAAGAAATAGGAACGTTTCAGAACTACAGTAACCCCACAATAGGGGCTCGTGTTGAAGCTCTAAACAAGCCGCAAATGATGTCCCCCATTTTTCTAAGATTCACAAAAAATTTTGAATTTCTGAAAAAATTCAAATTTCCAGAACTTTTGAATTTACAGTTTTCTGATTTTCCACATTTTGGGATTTTTTATAATTCTGCAAAAGAAACGAATTTCAGCTCCCTGAATCCGGAATTTTGAAATTTTTGAAATTCCTAAATTTTGTATTATTGAAAATTTATGATTTCCCACGAAAATGAAAATGATTCGAATTTGGTTGAAATTGGCTCAAATTTGACTGAAAATAGTCTAAATTTGACTGAAAAATGGCTCAAGTTTGGCTTAAAATAGTCAAAATTTGGCTTAAAATGATCTAAATTTGACTGAAATTGTTCAAAATTCGGCTTAAAACGGCTCGAACTTGGCTGAAAATGGTCGAAATTTGATTGCGAATTGTCGAAATTTGACTGAAAATGGTCCAAATTTGGCTGAAAATGATTCATTTTGCAGCTGCTGAATCGCCGTTTCGCTCAACTCAGCTCGCTGATTCTCGAACGTCGCGAGACGATGCAAGTGCTCATTCAGAACTGGAAACGTCAGAAACAGGTTAGTCCTCTCTTTCCATTTTTGTATTTTTTGAATTTCTGGTTTTCCCGCCAAATGGGTGTCCCTATTTCGTTTCTAGTCTTGTTCATATAGGCCGTTGGTGATAGTAGATTAACATGAAAATGAGCGATTTTGGGGGTTTTTGGGGCTGGAAATGGCTGAAAATCGATATTTCCAGGCCTGAAATGGCTGAAAATGACTGAAAATGACAATTTTTTGACTGAAAATGCTCAATTTTAGACGAAAAATACTCATTTTTAGGCTGAAAATGGCTGAAAATGATCATTCTTTGAGCTGAAAATAGCTGAAATTCGACATTATCAGCCCCAAAAATCCCCCAAAATTGCTCGTTTTCCGCCCCCATTCACAACGCTTTATCCATGGGTTTTGATAGTAAGGTGATAGCAAAAATTGTCCATTTTTGTAGTCTTTTTTGTAGTCCTACAGTAATCCCATTCTCCATCTACAGTAGTCTTTATTGATTTCTTATCATTATCACAATCAAAAAAAAATCGAATTCAGAGCACCCAGCAACAACAATTTTTGAGTTTTAACACACCCCGCCCCGCCCAGCCTACAGTAATCCATTTCCCCCCTCCCCACAGCAGAGCCGCCTCTCTAATCAATCAATCAATAATCAATTCTTATCAGTTTCAGCTTTTTTTTTTCAAAAATTTCAGTTTTTTCTATGTACACACACACACCTATCTACACACGCTTTTTTTTGAGTTTTTTAAGCACCTAAAATGTCTGAAAATCTGGAAAAATCTGAAAAAAAAAATGCACCACCAATCTTTGAAAAAAGTCGATAAATCAAAAAATCGATAAATTGATAATCAACGTCTTCACCGTCGTCGTCGTCGTCGTCACCCTGAATCTCGGATTCATTCTTCACCCAGGTAACGTTGTATCTTTAACACAGAAGTTTGAACATCTTATTAATTACATGAGCAATCAATCGATAATCGATTTGTGACAAAAATCGATAAATCGACAATTTTCAGGTCCGTTGCCCCTCTTTTTTTATCCTTGTTTGTAATTTATTAAAACAATGTATGTATGTAATTGTTTGCCCCTAGGTTTCTTTATTGTATATGTATATGTGTGTGGATAAGTTATTTTCCTTAATTGCAATTGCTGCCTAATTAATTAATTAATCCTAATTAGTTAATTAATCGATAATTGTGCCCCGCCCCGCCGCCCATGGCTTTTATCACGCCAAACACGCACACACACAACACCAAAAGCAAATTGGAAGCAAATTTTGGGGGAAAATAGCCTGAAAATCATAATTTTTGGCTCAAAATTTGAGGATTTCGATCCCAAAATGACCAAATTTTGGACTTTTTTGATTCCGAAAATTGTGAAATCTCGTTTTTTTACCCCTGAAATGTGAAAAAATCAAAAAAAAAAGTCAAATTTGACCCAAAAATGCCAGACTTAAAGCCCAAAATCATGAAATTCAGTTCAAAATTCATAGATTTTCGACCCCAAAATGCTCAATTTGGCTGAAAATGATCCACATTCGACTGAAAATGGCTCAAATTTGACTGAAATTGGTCCAAATTTGGTTGAAAATGGTCCAGTTGAACATTTTCGATACGAAACCATATTTTTGAGCAGAAAATCATAAGAATTGAAAATTTTCGATCTCAAAAATCAGAAATTTAGTCCCAAACGCTCTAAAAATCCTTTTTTTTTGTTTTTAAGCCTTAAGTTTAATTGAAATTCCATTCAAAAATTATATATTTTTTCCCGCCAAAAACGCCCAAATTTGGCCCATTTTTGATCCGAAAAGTCTCAAATTTGGACCTGAATTTGAAGCTTTTTGACCCGAAAAACCCTTAAATTTGACCCAAAAATGCCCAATTTTGCTGAAAATGGTCCAGATTTGACTGAAATTGGCTCAAATTTGGCTGAAAATGGTCCGAATTCGGCTGAAATTGGCTGAAACTGGCTTTTCTCTCTCCCCGGAATTTGCTTCCAGAATCGAATTTTCTTACTGTATCTCTCTCTCTCTTAGATTGCTCAGCTTTTTCGTTTCCCTAATTTTCTGATATTCGCCTGTTTGAAGTGTGTTTCTGTCCTGTTTTTCCTTTCAATCAACCAGCCTCTCACACGTTCTTTGAATTCGATTTTTTCTCTTTCTCTGCGTCTATCTCTCTATCTCTCGTTGTCCATTCTACAGTAGTCCCCTAATCCTTATCTGTTATAGTTATTTTGATAGTTTCATGTCGTCTATCTACAGTAACCCCCTAAAAGTCTATGTTGTGTGTGTGAGTGTGGTTTGGAATTAATCCCCTTTTTTGGAATTTTCTGGTTTTCAGAATGCGGATTTTCTTGATTTTTTTGGGAATTTTTGATGATGATGGAGTAAAAATGACCTAATTTGGCTGAAAATGGTCCGATTTTGGCTGAAATTGGCTCAAAATTGGCTGAAAATGGTCCAGATTTAACTGAAAATGATCCAGATTTGGCTGAAACTGGCTGAAAATAGTCCTAATTTGGCTGAAAATAGTGGTAATTTGACTGAAATTGGTTGAAATTTGACTGAAAATGGTCCTTTTTGGTCCTATTTTTGCAATTTGAGACCCCTTTATCATCATCATCGATCCCAAAAATAAGGATTCGACTTGTCTGAAAATCTGAAACTTATCTTCTGGTGTGTAGTGTGCTTCTCTCTGTGTGTCTCACCACAACTACAGTAGTCTAGTCTACAGTAGTCCCTAGAACAAATCCCCAAGCTTCTGATTTCCAAAAACCATCTATCTGAACCGCTTCTCACAGGAAGAAGAAGATCGTCGTCGCGCTGAAGAGGAGGAGAAACGACGTGCGTTCGAAGCGGCGCGTCTGAAGGCTCTCGAAGACGCCGAACGTCTTCGTCGTGAGCGTGAAGAGGCCGAAGCACGTCGTCGTGCCAAAGACGATGCCGATCGGGCACGTCGGTTGGCAGATGAAGCGGAAAGAGCACGTCGTGCGGCTGAAGAGGCTGAACGACGGCGTCGGGAGGAGGAAGAAAGGAGAAGACGTGAGGAGGAGGAGAGAAGGAGACGTCAGGATGAGGAGGATCGGAGGAGAAGAGAAGAGGAGGAGAGAAGGCGTCGGGAGGAGGAGGAGAGACGAAAGGTACGGTAGTTTTTGTTGATTATTTGGAGTGAAGTGTGATGATTTGCAGTGATTCTCAATTCATTACTAACCCCCCAATCCAACCCAAATCTTAAAACTATCTTTTTTTTTGGTCCACAGATTCCAAAGCGATCAGCGGTACCGTACCCCTCTTTGAGCCCTTATATCTCATTTCCCGTTGAAGATATCAAGGAATTTTCAACTGATTAAATATTCCTTATCATATCAGCAATATTTTATCAGTAGACAGATTTTTGATATCTCTCATAGGAACCGAGATAATTGAGATCAAAGTTGATGGTTTCGAGGCCCTTCTATTAGAGGGAATACGGTAGTTTGCTAGCTCTTTGTCTCATCAGGAACCACGGAAATGAGCCGACTAGATCTTGGGCTCGAAATAAGCGGAAAATCTCAATTTTCCTGAAATTTTGATTTGTTTTTTAAAGCTACAGTAATCCTAAATTAGGACTTCCCACGACATTTAGAGCTTGATAGTGAAAACTACGAGTTTTTGGCTCAATTTTGAAATTTTTCGGATTTTTAGCATTTTTGGAATTTTTGGATTTTTCGAAAATTTCGGATTCTTACAATTTCTGATTTTTCAGAATTTCTGAAAATTTCTGAAAATTTTCGAAATTTTGGATTTTCCGAAAATTTCGGATTCTTGAAATTTTCGATTTTTTAGAAATTTCAAAGTTTTGGATTTTTAGAATTTTTTGGAACTTTTCAAAATTTCGAATTTTTGGAATTTTTCAAATTTTCAGAATTTTCAGAGTTTCAAAATATTCGGTTATTTGGAATTTCCGGATTACTGTAGTACCCAAAAAAATTTGGGGAAAAAAAAAATGAAATTTCACCCAGAAACTTGTAATTTTCAGTTTGTAGCCCCCGAAAATTCGGTTTCCAAACAAAATTGGATTACTGTAGCCATGCAGAAACCGAATATTGAGGAAAATTGAGATTTTGTCATGGAGCCCAAGATCTAGCTGGCTTTTCGAGGTTTTTGATGAGCTCCTCCGCTCATCCCGCTCCCATCTAGGGAATCTGTGGAGCATTTTTGCTAATTTTGACACTTCCCGGACCCTTGGGACCTTTTTAGTGGTGATAGTCTTCTTTGATACAGTGTTAGTTCAGATAGCATGGGTTTTAAACTGGTGATGGTCTCTCCTTATCTAGACCCCCTTAACGTTATTTCTTTCAGAAGCCAGACATCGATCTCAAAATCCAAAAGCCCATCATCAATCTGGAGCCAATTGTCACCTCGACCGGCGATGAATGGGAAATCGTTGATCCGATCGGTGATCGTGCCAAGATCAGTGAAGTCGAGGACGAGATGCAGACGTTCGCCGAGGAGACCATCACCAACACGCAGTTCTACGAGATGGAAGGCAATCTGAACAAGAAGACTGGCGAAGTGCTCACGTTCTTCGAGGCCATCCGACAGGGAAATCTCACCGCCGCTGGAGAGTTCTTCGATGTCCCATCAGCATCCATCATGTCTCTGGAAGAAGCTGCCAAGTATGGATTGGTGGAGAAGGATCTGCCTACAGTACTCAACACTCGTTGGGGAATTTACCATCCGGAGACTGGCGCCCCTATAACGTTGGCTGAAGCTATCCAAATTGGACTCTATGATTCCAATATCCGCCAGTTCAGAGATATTCACACTAGAGAGATTCTATCTCAATCTGAACTGATGTCCAAGAGAATCGCCAATATGGAAACTGTGATGAAGCTGATCAAGGAGAAGATCATGAAACTGCCACCAACATCCCTCGCCAACGCTCTTGACAAGGGAATGCTGAACCCAGCCACTGGAGTCTTCAAGGGAAAACATACCGATATGGAGCTCCAACTCTGGGCGGCCATCTACCATGGATACCTCTCCATCGAAAATCCAGAACACCTCACCACCATCGGAATCTCTCTCACCGACACCATCGAGAATGGATTCGTGAATGCGAACAATGCAGAATTCGAGGATCGCAATTCGAACGACAAATTCAACTTCAGAGAGGCCGTTTCCAAGAAGAACAAGCTCATCAACAATGATATTGTTGAAGTCGTCAACACTTCTGAAAACCGACGTGTGTCCCTTGGAGCCGCCTTGGTCCGAAATGCCATTGGTGTCAAGGATGGAAAGTATACGGATCTGGCCACGCGGCACACGATGTCACTCAAGGAAGCTCACCGTGATGAATTGATTGGAAAGGCGCTGACACTTGAAGAGGCTGCCAGAAAGTCGATTATCGATTCTACTGGACACATTGTGGACAGAGGAATTCAGGGACAACGATATACTCTTCTCGAGGCTATCGTCGCTGGACTCATCGACGCTGAAGTTCGTCATATCGTGGATCCAGAGGAGAACGACGTCATCTCAGTCTCAGAAGCTTTGGAACGAGGACTTCTTCAACCATCTGGAAAGATTGTTTTGGAGAAACAGGAGAGGGAGTTCACAATCGAGGAAGCTGTCCGAGAGGGTCTTCTCACTAAACGTGTCCGTCATACGATCTTCAATGTCCGTGGAATCCTGAACACCGAATCCAACCAGAGTCTCTCGTTCAACGAAGCCGTCGAAGCTGGAGTCATTGTCCCCAACGCGGAGAGAGTTGTCAATCTTCTCACCCAAGAATCCTACCTTCTCACCGACAACCGTGCTGCCAACCTCGTCGATGAGGCGCTCCTTGAGTACCTCACCACTCCAATCGGCATCAAGAACGATCGTGGAGCCTTCGAATCCAGCTTGATCCGTGCTGTCTCTAATGGAATCGTGGATCCACAGAAGGGAGTCTTCTTCAACAAGAACACAAAGCATGAGCTGACTGTCAAGGAGGCTTATGAGCAAGGATTGGTCAACCTCCGTGGAGCACTGAAGGTGTTTGGACTCTTCAACGTTCCACCATCCCTCATCACTCCATCCAAGAAGATCGACCGGAAGAAGAGAATCAGCCGTCCTGGACAAGGAGGACTCGAAGTCGGAGAGCACCAGGTCAAGGTCACCATTGCTGAGGCCATGAAACAAGGACTCATCGATTCGAGAACTCAACGATTCCGTCAAGGAAACATCAATCTCTCATTGGACGAGGCTCTCAGTCAAGGACTCATCGATCCAGCTAGCGAATGGATTGTGCCAGATCGTAGCAAAGGAGTCGGACCAACCATCGAGGAGAAGACTACGGAGACGATGACGGAGACTGGACAACAGCTTGCTCCAAAGTACTATCCAGACAAGAACATCGAGGAGTCGGTGACCACTGTGAAGAGAGTCAGAACTACTGAAACAACTGCTCTCGGAGGACCAGGAGGTGTCTCTGTGTACCGATCAATCACTGGAGGAAAGGGAGCCATCGAGGTGCCATCCACTGGGTACCATATCTATGAAGCTGAAAGAAAGGGATTGATTGATCTGACCAATGGAAAGATCTCAGCTCCGAACGTCGAGAGAGTGCTCAGCTTTGCCGAGGGAATCGAGTTGGGAATCATTGATGCATCCACCATCCAAGTTTCCAACGCTGGAAGAACCATCTCAGTCAAGGAGGCTTTGGAGAAGAAGGTCATGGAATCTGATGGATCAGTTGCCGGAAGAAACATCGAGAAGGCCATCGAATCCAAGATCATCATCATTGATGCCGAACCCCTGGTCCCTTACAACAACCAATCCAAGAATATCATTCAAATCCCACCAGGAAACGGACCAATCATCTCCTTCCGTCAAGTTGGACAACCAATCATTGAAGAATCCACTCAATCCTGGGAGTTCGATAGCCAACAAGGACTTCTAGTGGACAATATGACCGGAGAGAAACTGACTCTCGAGCGAGCCCTAGCCACTGGAAAGCTGGCTCCAGAAGACATCTCGGTTCGTGACGGACTCACTGGCCGCGAGATGACGTTTGAGGAGGCTGAGAAGTGGGGAATCATCGACTCGAAGAACCGCTATTTTGTCGACAAGGCTCAGAACAAGCGAATGAGCTACACGGAAGCTGCCCAGCAACACTACATGTATCCAACTGGAGGAGTTCCAGAGAACGCCCACGACGCTGTTCACACCACTGTCAAGGTGCAGACCCGAACTGCTGTCGCCAAGAAGGAGGCGTTGTCTTCCGGACTTCCGCTCTCTGATAACACTCTTGGAAAGGCTTTGGCTCTGGGATGGTACGACCAATCGGCTGGAACATTCACTCATCCGGACACTCAGAAGAAGATGACACTCAAGGAGGCTATCATCAAGGGACTCTTTGATCCATACGACACTACCATTGTTGATAAGAGATCTGGAAATGAGATGTCTCTCCTTGAAGCGATCCACGAAGGAATTGTTGATGACACTGCTGGAACTGTCAAGGACACTCAAACTGGACAAGTCCACAATCTCTTGGAAGCTGGGAATCTGGGACTTGTGAAGGGAAAGAACTTCGGAGACACTCTAGATTCCAGCTTGTTCTCTGGAAGACTCGACCTTGGCACTGGAACCTACACCCGACCATCTGGAGGTAGCGCCATGCCAATCCACGAGGCCATCAATCGAAACTACGTTGATCAGAGCTCAGTATCAGTTCGGGATCCATCCACCGGCCATCAATACTCTTACCAAGAAGCCGTCGAAAGAAGAATCGTCGATCCAGCAAGTGGATTGATCCATGGAGGAGGCGACTCCACTAGCTTCTCGCAAGCTCTCACCACTGGACACCTAACATCGTCTGGATCCGCCGGAAGACCAGCATCAGGAAATCAACAACGCCTCGTTGAGCAACGCCTTCAACTCACCCCGTTTGCACCAAGCAATGGAGGATCGAGAAGCCGTGATGGACGTCACGAGATGGTTGATCTTGGAGGAGGACAACAAGTTCAAGTCAAAGTCGTTCGTGATGCCGGAGGTGTTGAGAAGGGAGAGTACACGGATCCAAAGTCTGGAATGAAGTTCACAATTCAAATGCATGGAGATCCAGTGGTGACTGAGACCAAGACCAGTGTCAAGTCCACCTCCCAAGTTCATTCGGTCGAGTTGGAGCCACATGCGGAATTCGTCGGAATCGACAGAGTCCGTGACAAGCGTAACAACCGTGTCATGACTTTGGATGAAGCACGTAAGCTTGGAATCGCTAAAGTTGACAAGAAGGGAAAGCAGATGACCAGAACCTACCAAGTATTCCGATCCAACATCCAGAACGCTGTCAACAATGGAGTCAAGGACTCGCACGATGAGAAGCTATCCTTGGAGGATGCTATTCGTGCTGGAATCGTTGATATTCGATCGCTGACCTACCGTCATCCAAAGGATGGAGCCATCGACCTCACCCAAGCTGCCAATCGTGGACTCATCGATGTCACTCTCTCCGAAGTTCTCCCCAAGGGAATCATCCATCCAGGAACTGGAGAGCGAATTGATATCAAGAGAGGAATCGATTTGAGAATCATTGATGCCAGAACCGGCGAGGTTCGTGATCCAAGATCCAACGAGAGAATCACCTGGTTGGATATCCTCAAGCCAGTCTACCAAGCTATCGCCACTGATGGAGTCTTTGATCCAACGAAAGGACACCATGTACCAGTGACATCTGCGCTGAACGATGGTCTGATCAATGCTGGAACTGGAAACTACAAGAATACCATCACTGGAGAAGACGTTCCACTCAACGAGGCTGTTGATAGAGGACTCATTGATAGATCCACCTATGAGACTATCACCAAGCCATTCTTCACTGATTATCGATCGAATAGAAAGTTGAATTTGGTTGAAGCCGTCCGTGAGAGACTCATTGATCCCAAGAACCGAACCATTCAACTCTCCCGTCAATCTATTGTCCCTATCGCCAAGGCTGTTCAAGATGGAAGAATCCCTCTGGAAATTGGAGAGAAGCTCCGAAGAGTCGACAAACTCAATTTCGCCGAAGCCCTTGGAAAGGGACTCATCGACTCCAAACAGAACATCTTCACGGATCCAGACACCGGAAGACAGATGAGCATTGCTCAGGCCATTCAAGAAGGATTCATCGACACTGGAAGTGTTCAAGGAATCGAAGGAAACGATGAGAGCAACCTCTTCAACGTCCTTCAATCGTCTGACTTTGATGAGAACTCTGGAAGAATCTATGATAAAAAATCTAGTCTCCACCTCACCTTCGCCGACGCCGTCCATCGTGGTGTCATTGACGGAGACTCTCTTCTTCATCTTCAAGCATCTGGAGACCTCGTAACCCTTCGCGACGCCCTTCACCAGAATAAGATTGACTCTAACGGGAAATTCGTTGATGGAGGATCCCGTGTGAAGATCAGTGATGCCGTCAAGTCTGGAAGAATCACAGTGATCGCCTCGCCATCAGAAGCCGTTCAAGCGGTGACAGAAGGTGTCAAGCGACGCGACGCCGAGGGATATAAATTCAAGATTACCGAATATGAAGACGCCCAGAATCAGCAAAGACAATCGGTGCCCAAATTCAGAGAGACGGTTACAGTATCCAAGCTGACTCCACAATACCAAGATCCAGGATTGTCGGTGAGAATGCGTCAGAGCACAACGTCGATTGGAGATCGAGCCAGCAAGTTCATCGAGGATCCATCCCAGCTGGCCGAGATTCAACAAGACTTCTTGTCAAGCCTTGAAGCCGCCCAATTCGATACCGAAGCGAGAGTGATTGAGAATCCAAAGACCAACGAGAGAGTATCAGTGAGAGAAGCGGCGGAGACTGGACTTCTAGATGTGCAAACTGGAGAGATCGTGCATCCAGACAACGGAAGGAGGTACTCGATTCCAAGAGCTGTGCACATGAAGCTAGTTGGAGGAGATGCCGCGAAAAGGCTCATGGAGCAGTTGAATGTTCCAGTTGAGGAGATTGGATACGCCACTCAGACCATCACTACGTCCACCCATCGATCGTCGAGCCCAGTGTTTGCCACCGCCACTGCTACAAGTCATCCAGCAGAAGCTTCTGGAACTTCCGGAACCCGAGAATACACCCGAACCATCAATTGGCACGGACAACCATCAGAACTCAGAAATTCCAAAACCGACCCCCTCGCTCCTTATACATCAGTCACGTCGAACGTCACCGAAGCCACTGAAGACGCTCCATCATGGGCCAGACGACAGTAATCCCCGAATAACAGCTAACCACACATGCTTCAATTGTACCTCTATAAATTGCTCTTTTTTCAAAAAACCACTGCCATTTTTTATTAAATTTCGATTAGAATGATTTTTTCGGGGTTTTCGAGGTTTCTTTGGACCATTTTAGCCCAATTTCAGCCCATTTTTGCTCCCTAGAACCTCTGAAAAAACCCGTCTCCCTTGTCATATAATGTTCAGTTTTCCCTCCTCATAATTTTCACTTAAAAATTCATAATTCCCAGTGCCAGATTCGCCCCCCTTTTCTCTTATCAATACACTCCATTTTTCTCGCTTCTTTTTTTTTTTTGAATCATTGCTCATCTTCTTATCAGGAAGCTCCGCCCCCTCTGAAAAATTCAGTTGAAATTCTCGCGCGCCCCAAATTCCATCTTGAGGATTTCCTTCTGGAAATTTCTGCTGGAAAAACGGCGGATTCTATCCTTTTCTATGCCATTTTATCTAGTTTTTTTTGTGTGTATTATCACCCTTATCACCCTTATCACCCCCCGTAAAAAAACGCCCAATTCCTCTGTGATTTTTCTATCCCAATATATCGAAATATTGAAGAAATCCCGATTCTGTCTCTCTTGTATTCAAATAAAAGTGAAAAAAATAGATTAGTGAGGAATTTCAGATTTTCAGAAATACAAAAAAAATGGATTGAAAATGAGTTGGTGGTGCATGTTTTTTTTCAGATTTTCAGGTAAAAAAATGGCTGAAATTGAGAGAAAAATTGACTGCTTTTAAGGATTACTGTAGAATTTTTTTCCTCAAAATGTGCAATTTTAAACCAGAAAACGGTCATTTTTCGAAAAATTAAATCGGTCTGAAAATGACAAAAAATGACTGAAATTCCGTCTGAAAATTTGGCTAAAAATGACTGATTCTAAGGATTACTGTAGAATTTTCTCTGAAAATGGTCAGTATTCGCGGTTGAAAAAGACTGATTTCAAAGATTACTGTAGAAATTTGTGGAAATTTCCGCCCGTTTTTCAGTCCGAAAAATGTCTGAAAATTGGCTGAAATTAGGATAATTATAAGGGTTACTGTAGAATACTGTAGAATTTTTGAACATAAAATTCCAGATTTTTTCCTGAAAATTCCCTTTTTTTCAACCTGAAAATGATCATTTTTTTCGGCACGAAAAAATTGGGTCTGAAAATGGCTGAAACTTGGCTGGGGGCTGGATTACTGTAGAATTTTTGAAATATATTTTCAACCTGAAAATTGTCATTTTTTTCGACACGAAAAAATTGGGTCTGAAATTGATTGATTTTAAAGGTTACTGTAGAACCTTTTCCCTACTGAAAACCGCCTTTTTTAACTCCGAATTTTGAAAAAGACGATCTACAGTAACACGAATCGGAAATTTTGAATTTTTGAATGAGCAATAGTTCAGCAAAACTACAGTAGTTCCAGATAGTCCCAGTAGCATTAGGATGCTAGATATGAGCAATCTAGATGATCCTCCAAGGGTTACTGAAGTTATGATTGGGATTTCTAGGGCAAGTTGGACCAAAAAACCGATCTGGAAACTTCTAGAATCGTCTAGTCGGGGGAAGGATTACTGTAGTCAGAACCTTCTAGAGAACTTCCACAAAAAGTTGCCGAGCCCCTAATCATTGTTAAAGATTACTGTAGTCACTAGAAGATACCATTCTAATCCCTATCAATTCAGGAAAGTGTGACTCAAGTCGTGTCGTTCCGTGAAGCCGAAGTGGCGAATATGATGGGCGATTTGACACGATTCAGACAGGAGATCTTCACGACACACCTCACATTCAATCCGAACACTCAATCAGTCGATGCGGCCAGCAAGAATGTTCAGGTTTGTCTGGAAATCGGCTGCTGAAAATTGTCGGAGACAGCCTAGAGCTCAGTAACGGTAGCTACAGTATCTAGGCCGTTGCTCAGTTAGCTAGAATTCCTGTTTTCAGCTCTTTTTGTTAAAAGAAAAAAGACAATTTGAAATGAGCCAGGAAAGCCTGAAATTTCAAAATTTGATCCCCCAAAAACCCCCATATATTCCAGAAAATGAAGGAGTCCCTTGACACGTGGCGTGATCTTATCAAGGAACGGCTGGACGCCATCGATGAGCTGTGTCGAGACGAAGCGGATTCGATGACACCAGAACAGTATCAGGCACTTCGAGAGATGCGACGACAGTTGGCTGATGAATATGATACGGTTTTGAGGACTGTCGAGGGCATTCATACGAGGTGAGAGCATTGAAAGTTAGAGCTGAGCTACAGTAACCCTAGGAAACAAGAATTCGTTGAAATCGAGGATGACAGTGAGAGTGCCGTTGAGGCTGAGCCTAACTTTGAAATTGAGATTGAGGTTGATAGTGAGTGAGTTAAGGCTTAAAGTGATGATGATAGTGAGGCGGAGGCTGCCTACAGTAATCCTAAAGAAACAGGTAATCCCAAAGGGTCATTGAGGCTGAGGTAGAAGTAGAGGTAGATTGTGAGGCTGAAGCTACAGTAACCCTAGCAAACCAAATTTCGTTGAAATTGAGGTGGAGGGTGAGAGGTGAGGTTGAGAGACAGGTTGAGAGTGAGGTTGAGACTGC